CAGAAAGTCGCTTAGGAGAGTAAATTCCAAAAATGTTTACAGAACTTTACCATAATGGCTGAGATGAGATGAGTATGAACATGAATTAAAATACAATATAGCGACACAATTCAATCATAAATACAAATTTTAATGTTATTGTGGAATTTTGATGAAGCAGAAGTGTATGCAAAACTACTGAAAGACTAATAATAAATGGGGTAGCTTGATTCTTTAAATTGAAAGAATTTGGTTTAAAGTTCTTAAATGTAAAAACTAGTTATTTTTGAAGATGTAATATAAAGGATCAAATTTTATATATCACAAGTCTAAGCAAATATATTACACAATACAATACAATCAAATCATAGTAAGTTTCAGGAAATTAGATTTCACAATTCTTTACTTAAACTCTAATACTAAATAAATATCTTGCACTTGTAGCAACCAGCAAAGCTTTCACCCCAGAACAGAAGAGTGCAACACATCTGCAGTAAAATATTGGTTCAATGAATTATTAAACAAAATTTAACATTACAAAAGAACGAATTATTTTATTTTTGATGTCCTCTTTTAGCTACCTTCCTGTTAAAGCAGTAAATATTAGAGTTAAGAGGTCACGAGTGGAGCACATTTTTCTTTATGTATGCCATTGCCAAGCAATTCTTGATTTATGTAATTGCAGCAAAAGAAAACCAATAATTTGAAGAAAAAAAATAGAAGCTATAACATACCAGCCTTCGAGCTAGCAGCAACACTTTGCGAGATTCACCATAAGGTCCTTAACCATACATATATGTAACCAATGAATCTATTCAAGAACATGAGATAAGCATTTCTCCAAGGACGCCAAAGAAGTATTGGCCCAATTAAGCCCCAAACTCCAGTGCAGTACCCTCCACCCATGCTCATGTATAATGCCTCATAGAAATCTGAATCTTCACCTTTCTCTGCTGCTTCTGCAGGATTCACTGTTGTTGTCCGATCTCCATCTCCATGACAACTTTTGTTAATTTGTTCACCACAAAGATCAACATTTCCTTCAAAACTAGAGGCATCATAGGTTTCAAAGTGTCTTCCCGTTGCGATGCTTCCAGAAAGAGAGTTGTGGGACAAGTCTAGTTTGCCTAGACCATCAATTTCAGAAAGAGAAGAAGGAATTCTCCCAGTGAAATGATTTCTCGACAAGTTAAGGTAATCTAGTGAACTTAAATTCCCAATCTCTGAAGGTATTTCTCCACTCAATTTATTTCTTGCTAAGTTCAAAGAAACTAACCCAAGTAAATATCCCATCTCTTTTGGTATTTCACCTGTTAAATTATTGCATGAGAGATCAATGCTCTTAAGATTCAATTCAGGATCTTTGAACCCCTGTTCCACACCTTTCCACATCCATGTTATCTCAAACGTATAATCACCCAAATTGAATTGATTAGGGACTTCATAATAACTACTATTGATCCAATATACACGTCGCATAGTGTCACTTCTGTTGATGCTCCTTTCAGCCATTGCGGTAAAATTCTTTAAGCATGTTGGAATTCCTCCCGACATGTAATTTCTTGAAAGATCCAACAATTGAATATGTTTTAAATAACACAAATGAATAGGAAGATTTCCAGAGAGGTGATTTCCTCGCATGTCCGACATAGCGGCTATAACAACATCACAATAGTGGCTAATAATAGCACCGACATAGTGGCTATAACAGCATATAATTCATCACAGCACAACAATATCATCAAATACAACTTAAATCAACATACAACACAACTCAGCTTAACATCTAAACACAGCTCACATCCCAGCTTACACATTCTTACTCAGCAATAACATCTATTAGCTTAGCATATTCAGCAAATTTAGCTTAAGACCGCATTTATCAGTATTTAGTCAAGCATCACTTCCGCGCCTGGCACTCTCCTAGTCGCACCCGACGCAACACAACCAAAGAGCACCAGGGGCCAGCACGCCCAGAGCAGGCGCTTGACTAAATACTGATAAATGCGGTCTTAAGCTAAATTTGCTGAATATGCTAAGCTAATAGATGTTATTGCTGAGTAAGAATGTGTAAGCTGGGATGTGAGCTGTGTTTAGATGTTAAGCTGAGTTGTGTTGTATGTTGATTTAAGTTGTATTTGATGATATTGTTGTGCTGTGATGAATTATATGCTGTTATAGCCACTATGTCGGTGCTATTATTAGCCACTATTGTGATGTTGTTATAGCCGCTATGTCGGTGCTGTTATTAGCCACTATTACGATGCTGTTATAGCCGCTATGTCGGTGCTGTTATTAGCCACTATTGTGGTGTTGTTATAACTGCTATGCCGGTGCTATTATTAGCCACTATTATGGTGTTGTTATAGTCGCTATGTCAGTGCTATTATTAGCCACTATTATGGTGCTGTTATAGTCGCTATGTCGGTGTTGTTGTTGCTGAATGTGGTGATATGCTGAGCTGGTTGAAGTGCTGATAGCTGTGGTTGTTTATCATTCATATTTTATATATGTATGTTGAATTCTTTTCACTAGCTTACCCTTTGTTGTTTCCATGTATTTGGGTTGCGATGATCATACTGTTGTGTGGGAGCAGGGCAGAGTTAGGTTGGTGTTTGCTAAGAAGAGTCTACATCTAGTAGAAGGAGTTTAGTCTTTTGATGTATTTAGCTACTTTGATAGCACTGTGTTGGATGTATTTTGTTTTCGTACACTCTAACTCTAGTCGGATTGGGACCATGTATATACATATATTCTAGATCCTATATTTATATACTTGTTCTTTTTTGCCTGGTGTTTCCGGTGTGTTGTGTTGTGTGTATTGACTAGCTGGGTCGTTACACTTTAGTGGTATCAGAGCAGTTCGAGTCTAGTGGACACTTTGTGGGGGTGGTTCCTTTAGGCTTTTGTTGTGTTGAGCTTTGTGTTGTGTTGTCTTTCTGTGTTGTTTGCTGTGCTGATTGCTGTGATGTCTTGCTTTGCTGATTGATGTGTTATTTTGCTGTGATGTTGATTGTTGTTTGGTTTAGTTATTGTGTACTAAAGATGTTGTTACTTTTGTAGACAATGACTAGAAAAAACGAACAGATAGCCCGTGCGATGGAGATATGGCTATGGCTATGCAACAGCAAAATGCTTATTTTGCTAAGGCGGAGGCTAATAGAGCTGCAGCTGGCGTAGCAAGGCCCACGGGTTCATAGGAGAGTCGAGATCTAGCTGAGTTCTGGAAATGCCATCCTTCACAATTTAAGGGAGATGCAGATTCGGAGGTAGCTGACCACTGTATCTGTGAACTCTAGAAGATCTTCACTGTGCTGGGATGTTCTCAGGAGAGGAGGCTGACATACACTGTTTATATGCTTATTGGAGAGGCCGAGCTTTGGTGGAGGGTACTCACACATGCTTACTGCTAGAGGTATTGCTGTAGATTGGGAGTGCTTCAGGAGGGTGTTCCTGGGGAAGTACTTCCCGGAGAGCATGAGGCATGCCAAGGAGGCCGAGTTCATGCGGTTTCCCAGGGAGGGATGACAGTTTCTAAGTATGCGCTGAGATTTGAGCACCTGGCTCGTTTCTATTCGTAAGCTATATCTAAGGCCTGGAAATGCAAGAAGTTTGCTGAGGGACTAAAACATGAGCTAAAGAGGGTGGTGGTTCCTATGGCCATCACCGAGTTTCCGGCCTTAGTGGAGAAGGTGAAGGTTGTGGAGACATTAGAAGGTGGTAACCGTGTGACTAAAGCTGTTGAGGGACCAGCTGGGTCCAAAAAGGGAGCAAATCAGAGGAAGTCCTATGATAGGCCCCAACAATAGCAAGGGGGTCCTGTCATTAGGCAACTTGCTAATGCTGCTAGGGGAGGGAGACAGGGTGGAGGTGCTGCCCTTACATGTTACTGTAGACCTCTAAAATTGTCCGGGTTGGAAATAAAGCTCGAAGACTCTCAAAGACTGAAGGAAAGTCAGCCAGAAGGACTCCTGGAAGACCCTAGGATGATTCTCTGTAGGTCTAGGAATCTTAGAGTAGCTTAAAATAAGAATGTGTGAGGAATGGAGCTCAATACGCCCTCCCTGGAGTTCAGTACGGCCGTATTGGACTATTTGAACTACAATACGGCCACACTGAAACCAATACGGCCGTATTAAAGTTTTTGAACTTCAATACGGCCGTATTGAATTCAATACGGCCGTATTGTAGTTCAAAACTTCAATACGGGCCGTATTGACCCCCCAGGCCGTATTGCGCCTCAATCCTATATATAGGACGTCATTTGGACGTCATTCCACACTTTTTCCA